AATGCCGTCTATTGCGATCATAATTTGTGAGAAGTTTATTGTGCATGCAAAGCCAAAGAAATGCCCAGATCCTCTAAGGGCCTTGCCACTGCCAGACCAGATCCCAATAACCATGGTCATTGCTAAATCCCAGGTCCAAAAGAGCCAAATAAGCCGAAGCCAAAGAAAATTGGCCATTGCCAGCAAGATTCCAGATTCGGATATCATCCTCCAACTCATCTATAGGAAGACAACACAAATTTAGATCGTCCAAAACCTCATCTGGTAAAAAATCTGACAAAAGTCTAAAATCCCAGGTATCCCCACTCAAAACATCTTTCGCGTGCCACTCATGAGAACTACTTGGTATAGGCCGTGTAATTTGGTTGATCAAAGGTTCCGTGCCTAACCAATTATCAAACAAAAGGACACACGCCTACCATTACCAATACTCCAGCTAGAATTTCCCGAAATAAAAGGCCACATACTATTCATAGCACGCCAAATAGAAGAACATTGAGAACGAAATTTGGAAGGGAAATAATCGACATTGTTCAAACCGTATTTCCCTCTCAGGACACACACCCAAAGAGCTTGATGTTCAGTGACAAATCTCCAAGTTAATTTGGCTAGGAATGCTTGATTTAGCACCTTTAAATTCTTCAAGCCTAACCCCCCACTCTCCTTAGGCCGACACACTGTATCCCAACAAACCAGATGCATAGTTCTCTCATTGCCATCAGCTCCCCAAATAAAATTTCTGCACATAGTATTAATTTTGTCACATACAGTAACTGGAATGACCGCCACTTGCATAACACAAGCCGAGAGAGCCATGATGACAGAATTAACCACAGTAACTCTACCCGCAAAGGAGAGAGTTCTAGCCTTCCAAGAACTGAGTTTTTCCGCACTTTCTCCTCTAAGTAGTAAGTATAATATTTACGCCCATTGCGACCATGCAGAACCGGTATCCCCAGATATAAACCCAAATCATCAGAAAAATTAAAACCGGAAATCCTCTTGATATCCTCAATTGTGTGCCTGTTAACGCTTTTCGAAACACAGAAGGAGGTTTTGGAACTGTTAATCTTCATCCCGGAACAATCACAAAACTCTTGTAAAACCTCCAAAGTTTTATCAATCTGTTCCTC